TCACCTAAAACTTATTGTTGTTCCATTTGCGGTTGTGAATTTTGTTGGACTTGCCAAATACGCTGTGCCATTTCCCTCCAACCGTCGCAGCTGCGAAACAACAGCATGCGGAGGTGAAGTGTCATTCTCTGAAGAATATGCATAAGAAATCAAACAGTTCGACAAACTGAGAGCAACTACCGCTAGTCCCTGATCCAGCAAGCCGAGTCAGACCATTAAGTGTAGCTTGAGTTATTGCGTTCGGATTTCCAGCATGAGTATTAACAGAGTGGATACGTTTTCGACTGGAAACCATTGGCGCTCGACTTTGATAAACAGCAGTTGACATCAGTTCACCTCGACCCAGAGGAGACAGTCCAGATAAAGCAGCCGCCAATGTTTGTGCTAAAGATCGCGCTCCATCAATGAAAATTGGACTTGAAACGTGTTTCAAAGGTGTGCGTACGTTGCGATGCATAAGCATTGGAAGGTAATCCGTTTCTTTCTAGCTGTTGAAAGCCGCCTGTACCGCGTGCGGCATTTCGAGAATCAACGACTACTATACCGAGTTGCTGCTCATCTCCTCCCGCGCTAGCTACTGTGACCCGACGAACATTCGGCGATCCAGTAGGTACAACAGTTCTGGTACTTCTAGAACAAAACTTTTGAGAAAAGAATTGGTATGAATGGTAAATTTCTCAACTAAAAAAAGAAGACGTAAACGATCTGCTTTCCTTACTATCAGTTACGCTTAGTACTACAACTGCATATGATAAGAAACAAAAAACAGTTCGTACGTAGAGTACCCACATAAGCAGATATCAATGTACAAAGCTAGGAACGGTTAACTATTAAAAGATCATGGCCGACCTGCAACTGAAAACTATAAAAAAATCAAAACAATGCTAACACATTCTCGGTTAATTGAATTTAGAACAAAAGATATTGGCATAACAATAGAAGCCAGCAACTGATTTCTGCACGTTTTCCAAGCAAGAATATATAACCCAAAAAGATAGGATTTCAGAGATGAATATTTGTGTGACTTGTACTCCACATGTTTCAATATACATTTGTCGCGTTGACGTCACACAGTCCCAAGTGCGCAACCCAGTGGTCAAGCACTTTCGGATGCGTGGGTGTGACATTTTCCAGATCGCATTTGTCACTCTGTTCTGAATTTTTTTTTCTAATTTATGTCTTTGATGAGATGGTGATTTACTTTAAACAAACTAGCACAAGCAGTGGCCAATGAAAGAGAATGAAAAAGCCGCGTTTGTACCATGCGCAAGACACGTAAATAATGTGTAGTCAA